CCCAGGGTGGATCACAACGTCACCACACTCCGAGCACAAGCAAAGGCCACAAGGCCAGTTCACATGCAGTGCTAGATATAGTACAAGACAAGTAACACAGTGATCAATACCTAGCAAGCAAGCAACAAGATATATATAAAGTACAGTACAAAGACTGTCAAGCAGTGAGCAAGTGAGGAAACGTTGGCACAAGACCTAAAGAAGTACAGTGCCGCTGATGATCACTAGGCAGGAGCGCCTTGGTGAAGATATCAGCAGTGTTGGCCTTCGAGTCCACGTACACAAGCCGAAGCTGACCGCGCTGCTGAAGCTCTCGAGCAAGAAAGTAGCGAAGAGCAATGTGCTTCGTCCTGTGCTCCAGTCTGTGCTCCTGACACAAGGCAAGAGCCGCCTTGTTGTCACCGTACAGAACTGGAGGAGAACTAGGCCGCTCTCCCAAGTCAGTCAGCAGGTAGGTGAGCCAGCGTAACTCCTGTGCAGCCATGGCCGTGGCGTAGATCTCAGCCTCACAACTAGAGCTGAGAACAGAGGAAGAGCGGGTGGACCGCCACGAGACAGAACCAGAGCCAAGGCTGAAGGTGTAACCCTGTGACGACCGCTGCGTAGCCAGGTCATCCACCCAAGAAGCGTCCGAGTGACCAGTGAGGGCAACTCTGTCGCGTCCTCCAAGCACCAGCCCCATGCCTGATGTACTGCACAAGTAACGCAGCACCCTCTTAGCAGCCTCCCAGTGCTCTCGCCTGTGTCTCCCAGGCGCAACGTAACGAGCAAGGATGCTAAGAGGGTACGCGAGGTCAGGTCGCGTGCAAGTCATCAGGTACATGAGGCAGCCTACAAGCTCTGGGTACGGGCCACTCGGCTCTACGGACTCGTCCGAAGGTGGAGCTGAGAGCGAGTGGCTGGTAGCCAGAGGTGTGGCCTGTGGTGAGGAGAACTGGAAGCCGAAGCGCTGAAGGACCTGCTGCACCATGTGTGACTGAGTCAGGGTGATGGTGCGGCGAGCTCTGTCCCGGGTGATCTGCAAGCCAAGGTAGCTACGCAGCTCACCCAGGTCAGTGCAGGTGTGTCTCTTCTGCAGCTCCGACTTCACACGAGCGAGTGCCTCAGTGTCAGCAGTAGCAAAGACCAAGTCGTCGACGTACACGAGAATGTAGAACGGCGGCAGCGACGTGTCTGTGCGCAGAAACAGCGACGGGTCAGCAGTAGACGGCGCAAACCCAAGAGCCGCAAGTGTAGTCCTCAGTGTGTCGTGCCACTCACGTGGCGCCTGGCGGAGACCGTAGACTGGCCGGCAGAGGCTCCACTGGGTACCAGGAGGAAACGACCCAGTAAAGCCAGGTGGGCGGCGCAGCCAGATCTCCTCGTGCAGGCTGCCCTGCAGGAACGCTGTGCTGAAGTCAAGAGAGTGAAGCTCGTAGTCACGCTGAGCAGCAACGTGCAGCAGAACCCGAAGAGTGGTCATCTTCGGGGTGGGGGAGAAGGTCTAGAAGAAGTCGACCCCCTGACGCTGACTGAAGCCTCTAGCAACGTAACGAGCCTTGAAGACAGGCGGAGAACCTGGTGGCCGCTTCACCCTGAAAATCCACATGCCATCGACGATGTTCGCCCCAGGAGGGGGAACCTCGTCGACGTAGGTGCCTGTGGACTTCCAGGATGCCATCTCTGCGTCCATGGCTGTCTGCCACTGAGAGGAGTAGGGACCCGAGATTGCCTCTGCGTAAGTGCGCGGAGTGGGGATGTCTACTGCATCCGGGTCTCCCTCAGGGGCAAGCAACCAGGCCACGAGATGAGGTACAGCAGCCGCGAGAGAGTCAAAGTCCTCCTGCCTGTCCTCAAGGACGTCCGTGCCAAGAGCACACTCACCCCCGACGGACGGAGGACAGACAGACGCAGACTCAGACTCAGCAACAAGGCTAGCAGCGTAGTCTAGACGACAGGCAGCAGCAAAGTCAACCAACTCAGCGACCAGAGCAGACGCAGCCGAGGACTCAAAGGTAGGGTCAGTGACAACAGTAGCGAGGAGACGCGTGACAGTAGGGTGCTCAGCACGATACCGGTCAGACTCAGGGTCCGGAACGTCAGGCAAAGAGGACGCAGGAGGAGACGGTAGAGGGACACGCTGAGGAGCAGTGGAGGGACGCAGAGTCATGTAGTGAGTGCCTGGGACAGGAGGAGGACGCTCACGACGGACACGACGAGCAGTGCGAGCAGGACGAACAGGCGACGCAGGACGAGACTCAGGCTCACGACGCTCTGTAAGACCTCCTGTGGGACCAGTGTAAGGAGAGGGACCAGGGAGAGGCGAGGCAGGCGGTAACTGTGACTGCGGCTGGACAGGCGGGGGACACTCTACGGAGGGAGGAGGACAAGGAGGAGGAGCCTGCCCAAGAACCTGCTGAAGGAGCGGTACGAAGTACGGTCGCGGCCGCGCAGCGTCTCCAGAAGCAGAAGGGACTCCAGCGGCCGGGTCCTCAGCACCAGCAGAAGCTCCAACGTCCGGGTCCTCAGCACCAGCAGCAGCGCCACCGCTCGGGTCCTCAGCTCCAGCAGCAGCTCCAACGTCCGAGTCCTCAGCACCAGCAGCAGCGCCACCGCTCGGGTCCTCAGCACCAGCAGCAGCTCCACCAGGTGGGTCCGCAGCACCAGCAGTAGCGCCACCCCCAGGGTCCGCAGCACCGCTAGGAAGAGCACCCCCAGAGTCGGCAGCTCCAACTCCGCTAGCACCGCCAGCTCCAGCCGAGCCACGAGGACGGCGAAAGCGCCGGACGTACCAGTCACGAAGCTGCTGCGGTGTGAGAGACTGCTCAGTACCCCGAACCGGAGCACCCCCAGACGCAGCAACCCGAGGCTCCGTAGGCTCAGTAGCAGCACCCCCAGGCTCAGTACCCGCAGGCGCAGCACCCCCAGACTCCGCACACGCAGGCTCAGCACTCCCAGTCGCAGCACCCCCAGGCACAGCACCCCCAGGCGCCGAACTCTCAGGCACAGTACCCTCAGCCCCAGCACCCGCAGTCCCAGCACTCCCAGGCCCAGCACCCGCAGGCTCAGCACCCCCAGACTCAGCACTCCCAGCAGCACCACCTGCAGCAGCACCTGAGTCACCTGTGACCTCGACAGGCTCAGCGACGGGAGGAGGGTCTACCTGAGAGACACCTGAAGGAGCAGGACCCTGAGGGGGAAGGGGGTCTACCGGGGGAGGACCAGGAGCAAGGAACAGCGGCGGGGGAGGGAGGGGGGCAGTGCGGTAGGGGAAGAGACGGTAAAAAGGGACCGACTCGTCAAAGGTGACGTCCTGAGAGGCGAAGACCCGGCGCGAGGTGGGGTGGTAAAACTGCCAGCCAGGCGCGTCAGGGACAAAGCCAAGGAAGACACAGGGAAGTGTGCGGGAGGAGAGCTTGTCCGCGGACGTATCGCGGACAAGGGCACGAGCACCCCACACCCGGAAGCGCGACGCATCGCCAACCTCCCCCGTCCAACGCAGTGTGGGCGAGGTCTTCGGCAAGGAGACACGGGGCCAGAGGTTGAGCTGATGCGCGGCGTACCGGACAGCAAACGGCCACAGAAAATGGGGAGCCGCCGCGTGGACCAAGGAGGTACGAGCGACCTCCATGACCAGGCCAATGCGGCGCTCAGCAACCCCATTCTGCTGTGGGGAGTCCGGAAGCGTGAAGGTCTGCTCGATGCCCTCCGCCTGACAGAAGGTCCTCAAGAGATCGGAGGAAAACTCACCACCTCTGTCAGAGTGTAGACGCAGGACAGGAAGATCCGTCCGGAAACGGCGGCGGAGCTGGAGACGAACTGTGCGGATCCAAGGGATCAGAACAGCAGGGACCTCACCCTTGGTGCGCAAGGGGAAGACCGTGGTGTAACGCGAGTAGTCGTCGACAACCAGCAAAAAGTACCGCTCACCGCCCTGGCCACGAACGCGGGCTGGGCCCCACACGTCCAGGTGGAGGGTCTGCAGAGGAGCCTCTGTCGGGGGGAACGAGGAGGAGTGAGGAGCGGCGCGCTGCCGCCCCTCGACGCAAGGAAGGCAAGGCGGCGCAGGCGAGGCAGGGAGGGGAGGGAGGGACCTGGGAAGACCAGACACAAGGTGGCGACGGTGCATGCCACGGAGGCGTGGCAAGGAGGGGTGACCCAGGCGGTGGTGCCAGAGAAGAGTCTGGTGCGACAGGGAACGACACTCACAGGCGTGGGCCACCAGACCTGACGCGGACACCTGACCGACAGCAGCGACCTGAGGAGACGCAGTGGTCAGTGTGTAGAGACTCGACCCCGGCCGACGGGTAAACGTAGCCAGGTGACGGCCGGTCCTGGAGCACGTGCAGATCGCCACACGCTGTCCTCCAGGGGTAAAGGTGTCAACCCACTGATCCTGGATGACAGCGTTGCTCACCAGGTTCGTCGAGAACGAGGGGAGGTGGAAACCCGACAACGAGCCAGACGGAACCGCCGGACAAGGGAGCACAGTGGTGGACTGGGCAAGGACTGGGCCCCCAGAGGGGTCAGCCAAGGAGATTGGGACCGGTGCAGGAAGCGGTGTGAGCTCAGTACTGTCACGAAAGAAACAGCGGGAAGCACCTGAGTCAAGGGTGAAGGTGTGACAGGCCTCAGCCGGTGCGGTACCTGAGAGAGCAGTCTCTGTGGGTGCTGTACCTGAGAGAGCAGACTCACTAGTACCCAGGGCAGCGGGCTCTATACCTGGGTCAGGCGGCACACACAAGTAACAGTCTCCCTCGGCACTAACAGTCAATGCATACATGGCAGCAAGAATAGCATCATAGTCAAGAGCAAAGATATCAACACCAGCCCTCATGAGCTCAGCCCAGCGGGGGCGCTCAACATCCTCGCCCATCTCCTCACGCCAAGCGTCGTCAAGGCGGGAGAAGCAGCGGTACGGGGTGTGAAACCTCCCACACGTCTGTCCCTTGCGATCACCTGTGCGAATGACATAGGAACAGCGGCCACTGCCCCCCGACGTCCCACGCTGAGCAAGCCACTCACGAAGCTGCTGGGTCGTCTGGGGACGCTGCTGCTGCTGGGAGCTCTGGCCCGAGCCAGTGCCTCCACTCCGACCTCCGCCGCCACCACTACCACCGCTCCGACCGCCACCGCCACCACCGCCACCGCCGCCACCGCCGCCACCGCCACCACCGCCACCACCGCCACCACCGCCACCACCGCCACCACCGCCGCCTCCACCGCCGACCCCACTCCCACCAGCACTCCCGCCACCGCTCCCTCCAGCACCGCCTCCCCCCCCACCTCCCCCACCTCCTCCCCCCCCAGCGCCACCCCCGCCACCCTTGCCCCCCTTGCCCTTGCCGGTGCGGCGCCTCCCACCAGGAGCAGAAGCAGCGCCAGCAGACTCAGCACCAAGGAAGTCAACAGCAGCAGCAGTAGCGTAGGAGGGAGCGAGGGGAGAGGGAGAACACCCCTCAAAGATGGGGGTGCGAGGAGCGCCACGAGCAGCACCTACAGCTACAATGCTCTTCTCGGCTGCTAGCAGTTTCTCCTCTAGGAGGGCGACAGTGAGCTCAGTGGGACAGCGAGCAAGGAAATGGTCGCGCACTGAGCTAAGGGTGTCAGGGAGACGGGTGACTATAAAGTGGAGTGTCCAGTACAGTGGAGGGGGGTTCTTAGCGCAGAACTCGGTGGGAAGGGCGGCACGCAGGCGAGCGTCACTAGTGCGAAGGTGGGTGATAAGATCTGCGACGGTAGCAAAGGTGGACAGCTCAGGGAACAGGTAAGGCAGCATAAGGCGGCTAAGCTCGGCTGTGGCAGGTGAGGAATAGCGGGCAACGACAGCGTCGTACAGGGCCTTAGCGGTTTTGCAGTCGCCAAAATGCTCGAGCTCAGCTAACGGCAGGTGACTGCGAATGGCTAGGCGAGCAGCTGCGTCACGAGTCTGCCAGTGGGAACGAACACTAAGCTCAGCTGTGGCAGGAGGGGCAGGTGCAGCACCAGACGCGTAATCATAGAGCGACACATGCTCCTTGCTATCGCTCAGGAGGAACAGCTGCAGGTCATCCAGCCAAGTGGCGAACTTCACAGGGCGGCCCTCAGCATCGAACGACAGCACGCGGATGGAAGCCATAGCAACAGCGCGACGGAGCTAAGGAAGCTGCCGCAGTACTGCAGGTAGGTAGGTCGACGGGAAGCGCGGCGAGCGGGCAGTGCGGGGGACAGGCGGCGCAGCAGGCAGGAAGTGCGGCGGGCGGGCTGCGAAGCGGGCAGCGGGGCGGGCGGGCGACGCGGCGAGTGGGCAGCGCAGCGGGCGGGCTGCGAAGCGGGCAGCGGGCGGGCGGGCGACGCTGAGAGCGGGCAGCGGGCGGGCACACTGCAAGCGGGCAGCCGGGCTGGCGGGCGACGCTGCGAGCAGGCAGCGCGGCGGGCGGGCTGCGAAGCGGGCAGCGGGCGGGCGGGCGACGCTGCAAGCGGGCAGCGAAGCGGGCGGGCGACGTCGCGCTGAAGCGGGCAGCGGGCGGGCGGGCGACGCTGCAAGCGGGCAGCGGGCGGGCGGGCGACGCTGCGAGCGGGCAGCGCGGCGGGCGGGCTGCGAAGCGGGCAGCGGGCGGGCGGGCGACGCTGCAAGCGGGCAGCGGGCGGGCGGGCGACGCTGCGAGCGGGCAGCGAGGCGGGCGGACGACGCCGCGAGCGAGCAGCAGGTGGGCGAGCGACGCAGCAAGCGGGCAGCGGGCGGGCGTTTGACGCGGCAAGCGGGCGGCGGGCGGGCGACACTGCGAGGGGCGCGCGAGGGCGCTAACGAGGGGCGCACGAGGGCGCTAACAAGGGCGCGCGAGGGCGCTAGCGAGGGCGCGCGAGGGCGCTAACGAGGGGCGCACGAGGGCGCTAACGAGGGCGCACGAGGGCGCTACGAGGCTAGGGCACGGGGTAGCGTGGTAACCGCATGCGAGCGGTGGTGGGCCCCTAAAAAAAGTCGGTAGGTCCTAGGGACCTCCTGCTCTGAATACCATGTTAGATTCTAGGCAAGAATGAATGCATTGAATGGAACAGTTGGGTACAAGTAGCAAACCCTAGTTGGGGTTGTACCCCATATTGGCTACCCCACTACAGCCTACCAACATATAACACATTACAATTTAACACTAAGAGCTTCTAGTATCGAGATAGTAGGGCGAAAGATAGAACAGAGAAGAGGGCTTTGTACTAGCAGCATGCAAGGTACATATAGGAAACCCTAATTTGGGTTGTACTCGCTATAGAGTACCCCACTGCAGGCTAGACAATAATAACATTTTGACACACCCCCATAGCCAAAGTGGGGTGTAATCAGCACAAATAACCAGTCATAGATCAAGTCCACAAATGCAAGTAAAGCTAGAGGCAGTCACAGAGGGCAAGTGAGGAGGAGGAGAGACTGTGAGGGGCGATCTGCTGCAGGCGATGGGCGAAGCTGCAGACACAACGGGCAACAGGAGCGGCGTGCACAGTGGCTACCGAGCGCACGAGGGCACCGGACTACGGGAGTATCTGGCTCCGCGGCTACGACGAGCACACACAGGAGCAACTGACCCACAGGCGACTGGCGAAGCAGGCTCGCTGGGCTACCGAAACGCGCGAGGGCATCCGGACTACTGGCGCTGCTAGCGTCACGACGGCTACCTCCACGCAACCTCCCCCGACCGTCCCACGCCCCTCTCACACACCCCCTGCTGACACCCTAGCTCCACTTCCACGACACCCCCCTTAAACCCTAAACCTCGGCTCCCACACATCCACCCCCCTCAGCGGCAGCTGCAGCAGTGGGAGACAGAGGAGGAGGAGGAGCAGGGGACGGCGCACACACACGGCACCCCCATAGCTGCCACCCCCACACTCCTCACCCCCGAAACCCTAAAACGGGTGGGATAGGGGCAGGAGCGCTGGGGATGGTGAGGGGGGATGGCGCGCGACCCCCAGGGCGCCAGAACGGACGGGCTGGGCGGGTGGAGGGGGGTGGCGCGCGCTGCTCCCCAGGGCGCCGCGGCGGACGGGCGGGGGGGACGCGCGCGCAACTCCCCAGGGCGCCGCGACGGCCTGGCGGGGCGCACGCGGGCTCTCGAGGGCGCCGCGACGAACTGGCGGGGCGAGCGCGGGCTCCCCAGGACGTCGCGACGAACGGGCGGGGCGTTCGCGGGCTCCCCAGTGCGTCGCGACGGACGGGCGGGGCGCTCGCGGGCTCCCCAGTGCGTCGCGACGGACGGGCGGGGCGCTCGCGGGCTCCCCAGGGCGTCGCGACGGACGGGCGGGGCGCTCGCGGACTCCCCAGGGCGTCGCGACGTGCAAGGTGGGGGCCGCGCGTGCTCCCCAGGGCGCCACGACGGACGGGCGGGGCGCGCGCGGGCTCCCCCACGGCAGGAAACCGCCGCGCGCGCTCGGGGCGTGCGGAGGGATGAAAATGTGAAGGTCGCGCGCCACGGGGCGCGCGACACAGAGTAGGGCAGCGGAAGCAGCAGTGGGGCCCACAGGCCAGGAGCGTGATCGCTCTGATACCATATCGAGATAGTAGGGCGAAAGATAGAACAGAGAAGAGGGCTTTGTACTAGCAGCATGCAAGGTACATATAGGAAACCCTAATTTGGGTTGTACTCGCTATAGAGTACCCCACTGCAGGCTAGACAATTACAACATTCTGACATCTAGGTCCCATATAGCAATCAACAGTATGAAAGTATAAAGTATATAAGTATAAAACTATAAAAAGAAAGTATAAATGTATGAAAGTATAAAAGTATAAAAGTATAAATTATGAAAGTATAAAAGTACAAAAGTATAAAAGTTTAAAACTAGAAATTATAGAAGTATAAAAGTATAAAAATAAAAATTATGAAAGTATATAAGTATAAATTATTAAACTATAAAGTATAGAAGTATAAAAGTATAAATTATGAAAGTATAAAGTATAGAAGTATAAAAGTATAAACTATAAAAGCATAAAAGTATAAAAGTATAAATTATAAAAGTATAAAGGTATAAAAGTATAAAAGTTTAAATTATAAAAGTATGAAAGTATAAAGTATAAAAGTATAAAAGTATAAATTATGAAATGATAAAAGTATAAAGTATAAAAGTATAAATTATGAAAGTATAAAAGTATAAATTATGAAAGTATAAAAGTATAAATTATGAAAGTATGAAATTATAGAGGTATAAAATGTCAGAATGTTATTATTGTCTAGCCTGTAGTGGGGTGCTCTATAGCGAGTACAACCCAGTTAGGGTTTGCTATATGTACCCCAACTGCTGCTAGTGAAACCCTCTCTCTCCTTTCAATCATTCTTGCCTAGTTATTCTGAAATGGTATCAGAGCAGGACGATCCAGATGGGTCGATCCTGTGGGTGGGCCCCACCACCTGCTTCCGCTGCTCCTACTACTCTTTGTGTCGCACGCCCCGTGGCGTGCGACGGATTTTTCATCCCGCCGCGCGCTCGGGGCGTGCGGCGGTTTTCTCCCCGCCGTGCGCCCCGAGGCGCGCGGCGGTTTCCTACCGTGGGGGACGCCCGCGGCCCCCCGATCCCGTCGCCCGCGGCCCCCCGATCCCGTCGCCCGCGGCCCCGCGATCCCGTCGCCCGCGCCCCCCCCCCCCCCCCCCCCCCCCCCCCCCCCCCCCCCCCCCCTCGATTTCCCCCCCGCGGCCCCGATTTCCCGTCGTGCCGCCCTGGGGAGCCGCACGCGACCCCCCGCGGCCCCGTTTTCCCGTCGTGCCGCCCTGGGGAGCCGCGCGCGACCCCCCGCGGCCCCGATTTCCCGTCGTGCCGCCCTGGGGAGCCGCGCGCGACCCCCCGCGGCCCCGATTTCCCGTCGCGCCGCCCTGGGGAGCCGCGCGCGGCCCCTCGCTGCCCCGTGGTGGCGTCCTGGGGGCCGAGCGCCGTCCCCCTCGCCGTCCCCCGCGCTCCTTCCCCCGTTCCGCCCGTTTTTAGGGTTTGGGGGTGAGGAGTGTGGGGGTGGCAGCTATGGGGGTGCCGTGTGTGTGTGCCGTCCCCTGCTCCTCCTCCTCCTCCGTCTCCCACTGCTGCAGCTGCCGCTGAGGGGGGTGGGTGTGTGGGAGCCGAGGGTTTAGGGTTTAAGGGGGGTGCCGTGGAAGTGGAGCTAGGGTGTCAGCAGGGGGTGTGTGAGAGGGGCGTGGGACGGTCGGGGGAGGTTGCGTGGAGGTAGCCGTCGTGACGCCAGCAGCGCCAGTAGTCCGGATGCCCTCGCGCGTTTCGGTAGCCCAGCGAGCCTGCTTCGCCAGTCGCCTGTGGGTCCGTTGCTCCTGTGTGTGCTCGTCGTAGCCGCGGAGCCAGATACTCCCGTAGTCCGGTGCCCTCGTGCGCTCGGTAGCCACTGTGCGCGCCGCTCCTGTTGCCCGTGTGTCTGCAGCTTCAGTCGGCGCCTTTCATCTTCTCGCCCTCACAGTTTCTCCTCCTCCTCACTTGCCCTCTATGATCACCTCTAGCTTTGCTTATAATTGTGAACTATTGCTATGCCTGCTCATTGTACTGATTACACCCCACTTTGGCTATGGGGGTGTGTCAGAATGTTATTATTGTCTAGCCTGTAGTGGGGTGCTCTATAGCGAGTACAACCCAGTTAGGGTTTGCTATATGTACCCCAACTGCTGCTAGTGAAACCCTCTCTCTCCTTTCAATCATTCTTGCCTAGTTATTCTGAAATAAAAGTATAAATTGTAAAAGTATGAAAGCATAAAGCATAAACGTATAAATTATAAAAGTATGAAAGCATAAAGTATAAAAGTATAGAAGTATAAAAGTATA